TGATTTTTCGGAGTGGGAAGAAAGTTTCAATAGCAAAATTTAGCAAAGATTGAAAAGCAGCGAGTTTTTCCGTACAGTTTGATAGTATTTCAAAGAATGACCAATCAGTAGATGCTAACCATCTTCCAAAACAGGACTTCATGCTTGGCTTTACATTCCTTCTAAAAATTGATTCTACTTTCGTTTTGTGAGTTCTCCTTAAAGGACGAATAAGTAAGGAGTTATAGTCACTTAAGCCGATTCCGGGTAGAATTTCAGGAGTGTTATAATGGTGAAACAAGTTGGTGAAAATTAGGTCGAGGATTCGCGTGTCGGATTTTTAACGGTTTGTCGCAGGTTAAAATGGTTACTAATATATCGGTAATTTAAACGATTAAAATCGCCAACCAACATAATTCCAGCATAAGGATATTTGTTCAAGCAGCATCCAATGATGAAATTAGGTGATCCGTAAAAGTATAGCATCATCGTCTTGTGGTGGATGATATATAATACCAATGATTAGGCAAGAAAAGCCTTGTGGGAGTCTGTTCGGGCTGAGGTATTCCCAAAGAGATTCAAATGGGGTATCATTAAGTTCGTCAATTGTTGTGAAATCAATTGATGATTTGATGTACGTACAAACACCACCACCACGTTTATCAGCGCTTCGATCTTTCCGTACTAGCGTGTAATCACTAATGTCGACTACTGAGTTGGAAATATTATTGGTCAGCCAAGTTTCTGTAATACAAACTATATCCACGTCGTTTTGGTTAATAACAACTTCCAGATCCTCAATTTTATTAACGAGTGATCTTGTATTAGAAAGGAACAAAGAGGGTAAGGAACTTTTTTTGTAGTAGGACGTAGTTGTATGTGCCTGAGTCCCAGGAATGGCTTTCTTGGTTTGAATGTGTATCAGATTATTTCTATTTACACAATGATTTTGATTTGAAATGTTGCTTTTCACTTTTCGAGGACGATTTAGAACACTCAAAGGCATGCTAGTAAACGTTATTGTAGGTGGTGCTAAGGGGGACACGACAGGGGGCCGTAAAGGGGTTATATTGATGTCAACAGAGGTGGTGGGTATACATATGGTCGAAGCATTGGATGATACTGTGGGGGTTGAAACGGGGGGAAATGGCTTGGATTCACAGGAAAAGGAAAATGATTAGTAATAGGTTGTGAATATATTTGGATAAGATGTATAGCCCAAGTTATGAGGGTATCGCTGTAGGTTATTGGACACTCTTGGTCGATTATTGGACGAACAATAGAACGGGTTATTCGACGAATTATTGGTTGGATTATTAGACGATTGAGAATCTTTGTGCTGGAAGTCACACAAGGGACCCTTTAGGCAAAAGCCTCTCCGTCTTAGAAATGGGCAAGGTACCAAGTGCTTGGGCAAAGGATGGCTGGGAATAGCGGAATTACGTTTGGAAACATTGCTCGTACGTGGCCCTCTCGGTGGATTGCTTCTAGGTTGATTTCTTGCCTCAATACATTCAATAACTGAATTCATCTGAGGATTGTACACCGATCCTTTGTCGGCCCGAGAAGTCTTATTGCTAACTGAGAGAGAGGTGTTTAACTCTAAATTTTTATTTAAATCCTGGGGTTGTTTATCAACAATAGTTATCGGTTCATCAGGAATGTTAATTGTACCAATTAAGTCTAGGTCATTGTTCCCGGTGTTTTTTTGTTGTACTTTAGGCGTGGAGTTTTTAAACAACCGTGGCTTCAATTTGAACAAACCATTCTCATTTCGTAGATCCTGTATATCGGCTTTAAGATTGCCAACCAAAACTTCAAGTTTATTTACTTTATCTTCGAGCGCCTTCTTACATTCAAGTTTAAGCAATAATTCATGACATTTATTATTCAAATTTTCAATTTTCCTTTCGTAATTAGATCGTACTTTACATACCTCAGCTTCTATTCTTATAAGTTTGTTGTCATGGGCTAATGTTACTTCTTCCAATTTGGCCGTCACCACGTCTTGAATCCCATTTATTGCCACCCATATAGTTGAAAATTCAGAGTCAGTCGCTACAGATTGCTTAGCTTTGTCATCAATCGACTCTTTACACGCCGTTGCTGTATCTAAGCAAAACACATCACCATTGCATAAACGTTTTAGCGTGTTCGCCACGAGATTTACTTCGCTGTCTTTTTCAATTATCAGCTTCTTTCGAGTTTGCCCAGTCCATTTAAGGATAATCTCCGTGTTCTTAAATAACTTCGTTTCACCGCCAGGCGATGACCATTTGCCGATTAACTTTAAGTCATTTTGTACGAAATTCTTTAATTGAGCTAAATTGCCTTTCCAGCAGCAACCGCTTTCGTCAATAAAAACAAGAGATGAAAGTACTTTACTTTCCACACTATTTGTAGGTATCTTAACACTTTCACTCATAAAATCCAACAATGAATTTGCCAGAATTTGGCTTGAATTTGCGGAGCTCAAATTGACACGACTGTTCTCCATGATTGATTCTTATCCATTCAACGGCATAAACATCTAAGTTGAATGTTTATGCCGGACATATTCAACGGCATAAACATCTAAGTTGAATGTTTATGCCGAACATAAGTTGAATGCTTATGCCGTTGACTGTCTTCGGCATAACCGTTCAAGTTGGATAGTTTGCGCAGTAGACAGTAAACGGCATAACCATCCAAGTTGAACGGTTATGCCGTTGACTGTCTTCGGCATAACCATTGAGCTTGGATGGTTATGCCGTTAATTGACTGTACATAACTTGAATGGTTATGCCGAATACAGTCAACGGCATAACCATCCAAGTCGAATGGTTATGCCGTTGACTGTCTTCGGCATAACCATTCAACTTGGATGGCTATGCCGTTGATTGTCTTCGGCATAACCATTCAAACATATTCAACGGCATAGACATCTAAGTTGAATGTTTATGCCGAACATATCAGTCAACGGCATAAACATCTAAGTTGAATGTTTATGCCGAACATAAGTTGAATGGTTATGCCGTTGACTGTCTTCGGCATAACCATTCGACTTGGATAGTTGCGCTGACGACAGTAAACGGCATAGCCATCCTAGTTGAATGGTTATGCCGTTGACTGTCTTCGGCATAACCATTGTGCTTGGATGGTTATGCCGTTGACTGTATATATAAGTTGAGATTATGCCAAATACAGTCAACGGCATAACCATCCAAGTCGAATGGTTCGTTTGAAATGTATCATGAAGGGGACGAAACGACAAAGGGACGAAACGACCGGGGACGAACGGCAAGGGGACGAAACGGCAAGGGGACGAAACGACCAGTTTCCGTTACGTAGTAGACAATAAACGGCATAACCATCCAAGTTGAATGGTTATGCCGTTGACTGTCTCAACCTCGTACCCAGACTCTTTCCGCTACGCTTCTCGCTGGAGGAAATACCCTGGCAATAGCTGGTCGCTTGGCTCCCAGATTCTGGGTGCTAAATTGAAGTTGTACTTTGGGAGGGGTGGTGGAGTTGTGCGCTTCTTGCGCTTGCAAAATTACAACTTGTGTGTTATAGTTTCGGGCTATAAAATCTAAATCTGCAACAAGAAATCCTGAAATATTTTGTATTTATTATCACACGTATTCCTCTTTATCTTTGAGTGTTGGGTTACATTAGTCAAGCGAGAAGTTGGATCAGATTTCAGTGGCCATAAAGGCTTGGCAACGAAAGCACGCTTCGCTCAGTTCGCTGTAAAAATCTTCCGGCCCGAAGATTCTTTCTGTTGTTTGAAGTGTATCCTGTCCGATACGTAAACTCAACGGATGTTCCTTATGTAGAGATGTGGAATTGCTATAAAATAGCAAGACTTTGTGATCCCGCCAACTGTGTGTAAATTCTAAACAGTAAACAATAAACATGCTCTCCCGACTGTGAAAAGCCCGTCAAATACTGTGATATGTACCGTTTTGCTATCGCTGAGACTCTATGATCAAGAATTATGTCGAGGTATAGTTCTCTGTTATCAAACATGTGGTAAAGTCATCCGATGCAGGAAAAGGCAAAGACTCCTCCTTTGCGTGCGGAACAATTTGAATATTTTTGTTCTAAAGTGTGTACAAAGACAAAGACCAAAGTGAACACGGTAAATATTTATAGTATTGCAGTAGTTCGTTGTACTTCGTTTTTATTTCATGATATTGTTAGTTAACTGCATTTATATAGGCCTAGTTGATTTATTTACCTGTGTAATATTGCTTTAATTTTAGAAACAAAAAAAACATAAATCAAAAACACAGAAACGTAAAAATGAGGCGAAAAAATCATTAAATTCACGCATTTTATCGCCATATCCGTTCCGCATTTTATCGCCATATCCGTTCCGCAATTTATCCCCATATCCGTTCCGCATTTTATCCCCATATCCGTTCCGCATCCGCTCCGTGGATCCGCTAGGTTCCGCACCCGCTTCCGCATTTTAACCTAATTGTGACATGTTCACAATAACAAGTCTCATTGACCTTTGACTTTATATTCCCAAGATCAAGTTTTTCATGTGTCATTTTCAGCTTTTCGCATGTATTCAATAATTATGTTACTTTAGATAAGATGCCAACAGTTTCACAGTTATAGCAGTGTTTATAGCAGTTTTGATAAAGCTTTGATACAGATATGTCGATTATTTTTTTTTTTATGATCCCTTGCTCGAATTTTATTTTTTTTCCAAAAATTGTTGGCGACCGGAGGAGGGGGGTGAAAATTTTTTTCAGGACGTAAAAATTTTTTCAGGACAAAAAAAGGGTCAAAAAAATTTTCCGGACTAACATCGGTTCAGTTAAAGTTTAAAACACATTTTCCCTGACAAATTCTTCTTAAACGCTTTTTTGCACCAATATCTGCTACATTTAGGTTTAGAAAAATATTTCTCACACCATGACTTATATCAAGAAACTCAAGAAACAATCCAAATTATTTTTCTTTTATTTTTCAAATTTGGGGGCCACCCTTACACTTTACCTCTGATAGGCTCTGTCAACTTAGAATTTTCCCTGTTGAGAAGTTTCTGCACGAAATTTTTTTTTCAATTTTTTCTTTTTCTGTTTCCCCTGCTCGATTTTTATTTTTGCTTTTGCCCCCCATCACTTTTCAAATGGCGCCCCTAAGATCTGGTAGAGCTCGAGCTCTCATTGACATTGTATTGAATACTGCATTGAACACAAGTTTGCACCGTTGTGCTAGACATGTGTACAAGGCCCGTGACTGTACACGTTGGATAGCTCCTTGCCTTTTTCTTCTAGATCTATTTCATAAAGCTTGCTGGGAAGTCAAGTGGTTGGCGATAACACGTTGGCTATCTCCTCGTCTTTCTCGTTTGAATGAAGAGCTCTGACGAGCCAAGTCAGCCGAGTCTCGGTTGTTTTGTATGATACAAAGAGTGCGTGACGATGCTACGAAGGAGCGACACAGTGTTGTTTTCAAATTTATAACTTGTTCTCGTCTGTTAGAACGGTCGTTTAAAGTCTGTATAATTTATTTATTTATTTATTTATTTATTATTTATTTATTAACTTTACAACCACACATAAAATAGACTAAAAAACTATATAATATGGTTGAAGGTATGGTCAACAGGACATGAATAGCCCCATGTGAAGACCAACCTTAATGAAAACAAACTATAACAAACATAAATCAAAGACGATAACAAATATAAAATTTACAGAAAACATGACGAATTACGAACAACAGCTTAAGTTGAAAGAGCGGCACTTAGAACAGAAGGTTTTCCAAGTGCGCATTCTGTTTACATCGAAAGATGAATGAAGTAGAGAAGAGTAATGAACAGTTAGTCTGTTTTTAAAGGAGGAAACGGATGAACTATTACGAATGGTGGGAGAGAGATTATTCCAGAGAAAGACAATTCGGTTGAAAAAAGAGTTCCTAAAGAGAGAAGTCCTGCAATGATTGACACGAAGCAAGTTCTCCGAACTTGAACGGGTGTGAGACGAGCTGTTTGAAGAAAAAGTGACGAAAGAGGAGATATCTTCTAGGTCGAAGAGACCGTGCTTACATTTAAAAAAGAAGACGAGATCCTTTAGTTCCATCCAGTAGGATATTGGTAATAAATTAAGCTTTTTAAGGCGTTCAGGACATGGCAACTCATAATCCTGAAGGATAAATTTACTAGCTCGTCTTTGAACAGCCTCGATGATCGCAAGATCACGTGACGATCCTTGAGGTGCCCAGATCTCACTACCATATGACAGATGAGAAATAACACTTTATTCTATCCCAACTTAAAAAATACAAAACACGCTGTCTTAAAATCAACACTAAAGACGCCCGCATTACGCAAGCAGGTTATATATGTCTCAATACTTTATGTTACAGGGAACGATTCGTTCCTTAACATCCCCCTCCCGAATGCAATGCATTCGAAATAATGTTAACATGAACATAATGTAAGTCTGCGAACGTCTGTTCAATATCAAGTATGCGCATATAACTATAGGATACAATAAGGTTGTCGTGATCGTAACTATTGATCACTGTCTAACATGCCAAGTGTCGTCACTGTCCGACTGTTCTTCGATATACTCAAGAGGACACAGGCGATGTACAGGTCTAATATACTCTTTGACTGCACTTTTACAGCTCTCACAAGGCCGTCTGCACCAAGATAGGTTTCCATTACACGACCGAGAGGCTATTCTCTGCGGATGTCCTTATTAGGTTCTGCAATCAGCACAACGTCTCCTTCCTTTAAATTGTGTCTTGGATGAAACCATTTACTTCTGACGTTGAGACGCGGAAGAAATTCTTTTCTCCATCGTTTCCAGAATTTTTGCAGCAGTTGTTGCACGCGATGCCATCGTTTTCTTGGGTTGTACACTTCTGTTTGGTCCAGTGCTTCTGGGGCGAATGATCCTCCAATTTGTCCAACGAGGAAATGATTCGGTGTATGTGGTGAGAGATCGTTGGGATCTGAGCTAACGTATGTGATTGGTCTGGAATTCAACAGTCGTTGAGCTCCGCATATGGCTGTGTGTAGTTCCTCGTCTGTGATATCTGCCATCTCCCAATATGGCGTTGATTGCTTTCTTCGCACTTTTAATCATCGCCTCAAAGACTCCGGCAAAATGAGGAGCAGATGGAGGATTAAACTTCCAGTCGAAGGGATGATGCTTGCTGGTACCTTGAATGATCTTGTCGTGGTCGAGGGCTTCAATCAGTTCTCGCATTTCACGTTCTGCACCAACAAAGTCCGTGCCATTGTCTGTGAGAACATAGTTACATAGGTAGGCGTCCCCCTCCTGGAAGACATATGGATAAATGCGTTGATAAACGAGTTCGTATCTAATGAATACGACATTTCCAGATGGACTGCCCTCGTTGGTAAGCAGGTGAACAGGCACAAGTACCGTTTCGCTCTGATCTTACCACGTCCTTGTTTTGTAAAAAGGACCTGCATAATCGATTGCAATTCTGTCGAAGGCTCGCAACGAATACAATCTCGCCTTAGGTAAAAGGGCCATCATTTGACCGGCTGTCTGCATAGAAAATCTTCGTCGGCATTCTGGACAAGACTTGATGATGTTCCGTACTACATGCCGTACTTTCACAATCCAAAATCGCACTCGCAATTGTGTTAAAGTATGTTCTATACCAGACCCATGGCCAAGTGTCTCATGTGCATCAAGAACTACAAGGCGTGTCAGCTGGTGATTCTTTGGCAGGATAGGATACTTTGTGTCGCATGGGATGTCTTCAGCGAGACGTAAGCGTCCATTTATACGAAGTAGGTCATTATCATCGGGTCATTATCATATTGTCGGGTTTAATTGGACTAGGAACTTTTCATTTATGCCTTTAGGAAAAGTTTCTGTTTGCGTGTGTTTGATCCAAAACGTCTCAGCATCAGAGATCTCAGCAGAAGAAAGTGTTCTTTCATAGTTTCGTCCTGATTTCCCACGAGTCTTACAATTGGCGATGAACCGCTTAATCCAACCCGTCACACGCGATATAGACGTTTGAGGCTTGAGAAGTGTGTAGGATCAATGCTAGTAAATTCATAGTTCTTAGTTGAATATGTCTTCGTGGTTGATCGCCTTTCACACTGGTCAGATTTCTGTACGTCTTTACTAGGAGGTGTGGTTGCCAGGCAATTTCACCGTCTTTTAGGAATGATGGTCCTTCCATCCAAAATTTGTTCTCACTAAGGTCTGCCACCGATAAACCTCTGGTGCCAGTTGTTCAAAGCTGGGTTAGCTTAACCTTAGGTTAATTTAAAATTCAAAGCAAACTTCCCAATAGCTTGTATATAAATTTGGAAATATTTCTTCAGAGATCTTGTCTGATTCAGTAGAAGTTCTCTTTTCTGAAGTTTTGAAATAAACAGACGTGTAGAAATACACAAACTAAAACAGCAGGTTCAATTTTAACCGAGGGTTAGCACTAACCCACCTTTGAACAACCGGCCCCTGGTTGGTAAATCTGCTGGATTCTCCGTCCCCGGTACGTGCCGCCACTGTTAATCTGGACTTGTTGTACGCTGAATTTCCCCAATTCGATTAGCTACGAACGGTTTAAACTCGCGACTCTGTTTACGTACCCAGTAATACACATTCTCTGAGTCTGTCCAATAGATAACTCTGTCCACAGTTAACACGTTTAAGATACTTGCGGCTAGACGGCTTGAAAGAACAGCTCCCATTAGCTCTAGGCGGGGAATTATCGCCACTTTCAAAGGTGACACACGGCTCTTTGACGCAATGAGACGCGAAGTAGAGGGGTTGTTGGTGTACTGGCAAACTAAATAGGCAACGGAGGCATAAGCATCTTTAAATGCGTTGGAAAGAGGTGTAGGTCAACCGTCTTTGGGTTTGGTAGGCGTAAACATCGTCGGTCGCACGATAAGCTCTAGAGTTCAGATACCCAGTTTTCCCATTTCGTGCTAAGATTACTAGTTAAGACATCGTCCCAATCTAACACTGCTGTCCATATTTCTTGCATGATAATCTTGGCGCGGATCACGAACGGTGCCAGGAAGCGACGTGGGTCATATAGGGCGGCTATTGCACTTAGAACGTTTCGTTTGGTAGGATTGACACTCATATCAGGTTGCTTGGTTTGGAATAGGAAAACGTCTCTCGCTGCTTCCCACGTAACTCCTAAGGTCTTGGTTTTAGCAAGCTCTCCGTTGTTGATCTCGATTGCAGGTAGACGATCGCCAACGGGAATGGTTTCTATTACTGCTGCCTCATTTGATGACCACTTTCGCAAGTTGAATCCAGCTATGGCTAACATGTCGGACAATTGACGTTGCAAATGTTGTGCACTCTCCACGGATTCGCTAGTGTCTAATAAATCGTCAACATACATGGAATTGTCAACGGATTCGGCTGCCTCCGGATATTCTGTTTTATGGGCTTGTGCATGAGTATGAAGAACGTACTGTGAGCAGAATGGTGATGCCGTGTTGCCAAACAACAATCGCGAAAACTCATAGAAGTTAGACTCTTTCAATGTATCAAAATCTCGCCACAGGAACCTATGATTTGGACGGTCTTGTTCCCAGAGACAAGAAAGTAAGGAAATATCGGCAGTAAGGGCTACTGGCGCCCTACGGAAACGTGTAAGAACATCCACAACTTCTCTTTGCAGCTTGGAACCTGGTCGTATTGCATCATTCAAACTTTTGTCTTCGTGTTTCATCGCAGCATCGAACACCACACGGATCTTCGTCGTATCTTTATCAAGCCTAATAACGGGGAAATGCGGAAGGAACCATTGCTCCTTTGTCTCGGATTCCGGTACCTCCTTTGTGTAATCTTTCTTCTCATACTCTTCAAAGACTTTCATAATGTCCAAGCCTTTTCTTTTTAGAGATTTTTCCTGACTTTTGAGTCGCACCAGAGCAGCTTCGTAACTGTTTCCCAACTTTGGTTCGCCTTCTTTCCATGGAATTCCCACCGTGTATCGCCCATTCTCAAAGGTAAGGGTCTCAGCCACTTTTGTCATTGCTGCCTTTTCTTCGACTGTCATCTGCTTGCCTGATTCTTCTTTGATCCCTATTGACTCAATTCCCAGAACTTTCTCAGAATGTCGTCAGCTGGTGGTTGCTTGCTCACTTGGTTGCTGCGGTATGTCAGAGTAAAGTGAGACTGGGATTTCTGGCGGAATTCCTTCACTAATGTAGGACCAAAGCATACCCAGCCAAGGTTTGTCAATCGTGCTATTGGATCGTTATGTCGACTTCCATGAATTCCCTTTAACACCAAATGAAACAGTGGATGGTCACTGCCAATCATGACGTCAATGTAAAGTCGTCTGGATACATTCTCAAATGGGACTTGGCGAAGATGTGGCCATTTTTCTTTCAATTCTGACCACTGAATTGCTGGCGTGTCACTGGCAATGTTGTCTAATACGTGTGCTTGCAAAGGTGCTGTGAATGTCCCATTGAGACTAGTCACTGATTGTTTCACACACCTTGACCGTTTCTGAATCTCTTTTCCTCCTGTTCCTGCAATTGTCAGATTTAACGACTGCCCTTGCAGCTCCAGCTCTCCTGCAGCATGTTCCGAAATATAAGAACTTGTTGAACATGGATCTAACATTACATTGACTTTCAACTTCTTCTGACCATCGCTAATAATGGCTGGAAGAACCATTAATGAAACATTATCAGTCTCACTCGTTTTGTGAGTCCTCTCTTGCGTGGATGATTCGGATCTCTGTTGGTTATTGATGTCCATTCTACCAGACTGTTCGGTTCTTGCTTCTTGGGCTGGTGGCTGTCTTGCATAGAAGGTTGGCGCCTCTGGTTCTAACTGCTGTCTAGCATTTGTGTTTCCATTCTGTGGGGTGCTTTCATGAATATAACTGCTATGGTTGTTGCTCTGGCATCCGTCAACTCCGCATTTTCTTGCTTTACGACAATCTTTGCTGTGATGCCCAGCTGCCAGGCACCGATAACAACGGATGCTTTTTGAAATTAATTCCTTTCTCTTCTCTACAGGGAGTCTCTTGAAAGCATCACAAACCCATGGTGGATGGTCTTGTTTGCATGTGCTAACAATACAATATCTGGTTGAAAATCGTGTGTTGAATCCTCGGAAACGAGGATTCTTGTTTCCCCGTTCCTTATTCTTCTTACCAAATCCCTCAGTCTCCCCTCTAGCTTCCTCCATGACTTGTACTCGGAGTTCCACCCAGTCTACCAGCGATTCGAAGCAATCTTCTCGAGCATAGTCTATCAACCAGTATTTATACGTTTGAAAATCCCGTTCGGTTAGCTTTTCTTTTGCTGATAAGTTCAGGCTTTGATCTTGTAAGGATCCACAATTGTTGATAGTGATCAAAATTCTCTCTAGTAGGGCTTGAAATTCTTCCAATTCTTGTAAATTGTGGGACCGAACCTTAGGCCAATTACGCAAAGTTGTAAGCTGCTTTATTTGTTGTCGCCTCTCTCCCTCATACCTCTTCTCTAACTTCGACTTTGCTCGTTCATATGCGCATGCAGCGCTTGAATATCCCAAATCTTTCACCAAGGTTAGTGCCTTACCAGCTAAACTGCTTTGTAACCTGAGCATTTTTTCACCAACTGGAATGTTCTGCACATCAAGCATTGCCATAAATGCTGCCTTCCAGGGCTCATAATTGGTTTTATCCTCTCCAAAAAACTTTGGAAGGTCGACTCCTTTCAACTTGATGGGTGATCGGGTTATTGTTTCAACTGGTACTCCCTTAGGCGATTCTGTTGTAAAATTATGTTTCGTAAGAAAATCCTTTACAGTATCACAGTCTTCGACTAGTTGTCGTTCCCCATTTTCTGTCCGTGACTTATTGAGCTCAGCTACTTTTCTTGCTTCCTCTGTTCGCTGCTTGGTGAGTTGAAGTTCAGCTGCTAATTTTCTTATCTGTTGTTCTTTTTTCTTGTTGTTCCTTTTCCATTCTCAGCAATCTTTCATTCGCATTCTTAGCTTCTAATTGTTTCTGCTCTATGTGTGAAGGTATTGTTGAAGGTATATTGGAGGGTACTTTGGAGTGTACATTGGGGGTACATTGGAGGGCACATTGGGGGGGGAGGTACATTGTAGGGTACATTGGAGGGTACATTGGGGGGTACGTTGGAGGGTACAGTGGGGGGTACGTTGGAGGGCACATTGGGGGGTACATTGGAGGGCACATTGGGGGATACATTGGAGGGCACATTGGGGGGTACATTGGAGGGTACATTGGAGGGTACAATGAGGTGTACGTTGGAGGGTACTGAATCTTTATCCACACTAACATGCGATTTAAGTGAAAGTAATACTGACTCGGTCTTCCCTGCATTAATTCTCTCTTCTAAATGTTTTTCTGCCCTTCAATAATTTCAT